ATAGATAGATAGATAGATAGATAGATAGATAGATAGATGGATAGATCGATAGATAGATAGATAGATGGATAGACAGATAGAGAGGGAGAGAGAGAGGGGGGAGAGAGAGAGAGAGAGAGAGAGAGAGAGAGAGAGAGAAAAAGAGAAGGGGATAGAGCTATAGATCAAAAGAGAACTTGCACACACACACAAAGAAGCAAGAAGGAATAGGAGTAAGGAAAGGAAAACACCCAAAGTTTAGATACACTGATCTCCCCTTTTACACACGTGCCTTTCATTTCCGGCGCTCTGGTCTACACTTATCTACTCATCATTCTCTTTTTTTCCTCAACTCCGAACTGATGTTCTTTCTCTTTCTGTGTGTCTCTGTCTCCCTCCCCTTCCCTCCCCCTCCCTCCCTCTCTCTCTCTCTCTCTTTCTCTCTCTCTCTCTCTCTCACTCTCTCTTCCTCTATAGCTTTCTCTACACCCTCTCTCGCTCTCTCTCTCTCTTTCTTTCTCCTCGTCCCTAACTATCCTACTTTTACTAACTTTTAGCCCCCTCTCGCCCCTCTCTCTCTCTCTCTCTCTCTCTCTCTCTCTCTCTCTCTTTCTATCTCATACTAGCAATGTTGAGTAAAATATGCCAAAACAGAAAAGGTTTACTGTTTTCATATGTATGGGCTCTGACAAGGTTATTGCTGTTGATACATTTAGACATAATTGAATATTTGTTGTTTATTTTTAAATAAAGGAATGCATATGAATTGAGTCTTATGAAAAGATGGTTATCTGACACTACTATGATGTAAGTGTGTTTTGAACATTACGTAGTAATCCTCTTCATATTATTATACACACTCACTCATTCATACACACACATACACACACACACATACACAAACACACATATGTACACATACAGATACACACACATACACCCAAAACAAAACATACACAACATACCATACTCATACACATACTCATATACATATACATGCACATACACATACTCATACACATACTCATATACATACACATGCACATACACATACGCATACATATTCATACACATACACATAAACATACACAAACACATACATACTAATACGCATACACATACACATTCACATACACAACACACCCCACTCACACATACCATCCACATGCACACGCACACTTACCCACACGTACTCTCTTGTACACACACTCACGAACAAGCAAGAACTTTATCTGTTAATCTTTCTCCTGTATCTACTTCCAGGCCTTATAAAAGGCTCTTATAGTGCTAAATGTATTGTAGAACCTCTAATTAATTTAAGTGTTTTTGAGTGAGTGTAACTCGGTACTTGGTTCATAGTTTCTTTTTAAATTTTAACCAGATTGGAGGCACCGCCGTAGATTTTTTCGGTGGGGATAAGTGGGGGTGAGAGTGTGGGTGAGGAAACCAGCTGTTGGAGAGGCCGGACCCTCTGTATACAAATCGGCATGTGTAATCGTTGGCCATGAGACAATGTAAAACGGCAAGATGCTACCCTTGTGCAGAAAAGGCTGTTTCTTATGATAAACATTTACCAGGGAATACTTGGGCTTCCAGTGGGGTATTAGTGTCTGTCACACAATGGTATACATGTATATACATAGCCGAAGAGGATTGGTGATTATTTAGCTTCAGCTCTGTTTCTGGTAACGCCACTTATATTTATTTTCCTCAGGTGTGGAGATGATTTTCAACAATCTTTCAAAGCTGAAGGTTTGTGAAAATATCTGAGTTTTTGTAAGTGTCTTTGGGTAAGAAAGGAACTATTATGAGTCGTAAATCGATGGTGCTGTCTTTTCTGGAAACAATTTGTAACAACCACTAATAGAACACTATAGTTAAAAGACAATATTACTAAACAATCACTGCAGTAAAGGTAAATTATGTAAGAAAAATAGTTATAATGAGCTAAACAGAAAGAAAGAAGAAGTAATAGGTAAATAAGTAAGTGTAGGGATTTAAAGCCCTTTTCAATATTGTTAGGTTATAAAAATGTCGGGATATCCGAATCTGACGTCCATCTCGGACAGCACAGAGCCTTGAAAAGTCTCAAAAACGACCACAGTTTAAGAACGCCCAGATGTTGAATTGAACCAGGGCTCCTCACCCTGTAGTACAATATGGTACCATATGAAAAGAAGAAGAGGAGAATAAGAATTATTTGGATAATGGACATAGGACAGAACAAATGCAAATATGAAGTAAAGAAAAAGTTAATAAAGTGAAGGCCAGATCTTGGAAAATGGAGGCATTTTATGTCATCAGCAGACGTCCCCGGTTCCCTGATTATTCCTCTGTCCTGTGTTTTACTTGTCGGGATTTAGAAATAAAAGAACGCCCTCTTCGAGATCCTGACAGTCTTTGTGAATGTACGGATTGAGACTCTCAGAAACTGCCTTGGATACTTGACGGCCAATTTCGAGAAGGTGCAGGGTAGTTCTTGCCTGTCTCTCAGATGTAATATACCCGGCGCAGTTTGCAGCGAATAGCATAATCAAATCGTGGCACAGGCAAGGAGATTAGTTAGGGATGTGTCAGACGCCTTTGGGAACTTCCTTTTTTTTCGTTGTCGTTGCACCGATAGTTGCATGTTCTGTAACAAGCTCTGTTGCAAGTGCGATAGTTGTTAGAACTTTTTTGTGTTTTCCTGGAATATCATTTCTTTTAAAAAGGTGGCTGCTTACAAGGAAGTATTTCACATTTCTGTGGCGTGGTTACATAGTTAACATAGGTTGAGAGGGGGAATGCTTCATATCCTTCTCACTCACTCTCTCTCTCTCTCTCTCTCTCTCTCTCTCTCTCTCTCTCTCTCTCTCTCTCTCTCTCTCTCTTTCTCTCTCACACATCCTCTCTGCCTCCCACTCTCTGCCTCACTCTCTCTGTAGATATTATGCTTTTGTATGTGTTAAGATCTATATGACTGTGCGAGTCCAGTGGTGGTGGTGGTGATGGTGATGGTGGTGTGTGTGTGTGAGAGCCCGTGTGTGTGTTTATCGGGGATGGGGTATGTGTGTCTGTCTATCTGTTTATCTGTTTGTATGTTATCTATGACAGATAAATGGGTAATTGGATGGATAAGCAGACAAAAGACATTGAATAGATCTAAATTTACCTACTATCATTGAGACAACCGTTCACTAAACCGTATCCCTTTTAAAAACCTACACCACGTTATACACACTTAAAAAACCCAGAGCTCCAGACAAGTGACCACACAGACAAACATCCACCCGGACCCAATGATCTCCATCAAACCGTCATTCATCCCCCCTCAAGCTCTACTCCACTTGGTCAATATGGCCGGACTTTGCCTTCTTCCCATGACCTGGGTAGTCCATCTCGCTCCAGTCACGTCTTTCAACCAATTACCAAGCAACCAGTAATTGAGCGTTTGTTTTTGCTGTGCTGGTCGTCCTCTTTTTGTCTTCCTGTGTCAACATCGCGCCGGACAGAGGGAAGCCTGTCTGAATCCAGCCAATTACTTTGCGAGAATATCCGGGCGGACAGTGAGTTTGCTTGTTTGGAAATCGTTCCGCCGACCACGGATATCCAGAAAATAGTGCGTGCGCTTGTTTGAAATTGGTCTCCTACGGAGAGATGTAAACAAGGTTTTGGTGGTAGGAAGTATTGCTAACGCCGTGCGGAATGAGAGAATTTCATTTGTCGACTTTTGCTTTTGTGGAGGTTTTTTATTTTATTTTATTTTTTTCTATGTTGGTTTTGGAGGGAGTGGGTGAGGTATTTTGCTTCAATTTGTTTTGATATCCCTTTTTTCTAGAGAAAAGGGTCTACAACTCATGGTTTTTTGTTGAAGGG